CCTTTCCAGTAAAGTAGGCCTATTTTGTAAAACAATTTAAAACCCTAAAATACGAATTTTCTTAACTGTAAAAATCCGGAGACAATTTTTTCTCGCCAATGTCCAGAATGTTCAACATAAAAATTCATAACACCTCTGGATTTTATCAAAATTCATCGTTATTACAACAGCAAAAACAAAGTTTTTTTTAGTTTTTGTCAGCAATCTTTTGCAAAAACACAAAAGGCATTTGCGGGCGAGCAAATTCGCATCTGGTAATTACCTTGTGACCGAGCGACTTAGCAAAGTAGCTTAACATACACTCAAAGAAAAAAAACCGGGCACTTGTATTTATTTATTTAATTTCCATAATAACTAGATACGAAGATTAATAGTAAACTTAAATAACTTTTTACCTTTGTAGAATAACCCTTTTTCACCCTTCAGATTAAAAGAAATGAAAATTAGTTCCATTTCTTCCTTTCCAGAGCCAAAATGCTGATGAGTTAATTGGCTTTTTACATTGTTTTCTTTGATGAAACAATAAATTTGAATAAAAAATTGTTTGGGCAGTGTCACCACGACACACAATTGACACATCTACACAAAAAACAAACACTTTGAGCCCTGAAGATGAACTCAATAAAGATCGAAACGTTGACACGAAAAAGAAAACGTTTTGCTAAAGCCTACGTCACACCAGAGCATCTCACGATCTCCAAATTATCATTTTTGTTTAAATTAATTTTTTTCTTAACAACATGGCTTTAAATCGAGATGATCTCGCCCGGGCAGAGTTCTGGCCAGTCATGGTCTTCAGCGGTTTAGGGCCACCGGAAGTCTCGATCGAAGGTAGTGGTCGACCGCGATGTACGATGGCTAGAGACGTTCGTTTTATTGCTCTTACCGCACAACCGAAACGTCATTTAACGGCTTCCTTGATAGATAGTCTTAAATGAATTTTTTCTAGGCTCCCAGGCAAGAACGAATTTTTCGATCTAATATGACAAAAGATTTTATTGAAATCAGTCTCCCCTTAACAGTTAAATATCAGAATACAAATATTATTAGTTTTTAAGGGAAATTGTAAAGTTAGTACAACCGATACAAGCAAAACTTATTTTAATTGAACTATCTGTTAACTTAACTTCTGAGGACAAACAATTACAAATTACATTTTACAAATTTCGGCTTTTGGACACCACCAATTAATTTACTATCTCTCCGGAGTTGGGGAATTTTAAATTCTTCATATTTGTTCAATGACTGGGTTTTGTAATGTTCGGTTAAACGCGAATCATCTCGGTTTCATGTTCGGTAACGTATCGATTTTCTTATATCAGTTATTCAACATTACTAGGAAAAAATGTGCATATAAAATACATCCGACCCCCAGATAGCTGAGATCGTTCTCAGGTGAACATTTGCAGAAAATATATTTCTTTATCGCTGCCGTCAATCGTTTAACCTTTTATCCCAGCCGAGTGGATATCTGGGTTAGGAAGTGAAAAACTTGCAAAACCGTCACGTTTCACGCCTTTTAAAAGGCAAAATCGACATCTCCTAAAGGCTAATCAATAATCGATTATTTATGTCCTAATTGCCCTAATATAACGTAGTATGTGAGAATAGTGCATTTATGTATTTCTAGATGTACATGTTGTATCGATGCTTGTTCAATTACTCCATTAATCTTGAAATACAGTACTTTTCAGTTTAAAAAAAATGCAAATACACGAAGGAAACAAGGCAGTAAGAATCGAAATACAAAAAAGGTGAAATTCTCACTTATCATTATATAAAATATGTCTACAATAATCAAAAATTAAGGTTTGTACAATGGGTTTTGTTTGCAAAAAAAACACACACAGCGTGTATACTGGATGGTTGTAGACTTTGTATTATCTTAAAAGGACTTATGTAATAATAGTTTTTACTGTATTTCCAATAAATTTAATCATTAGGCGTATAACTGTCTAAAAAGTGGCTTATGTATTGAGGCATTTATGAAGAAGAGTTCTACCCACACACCAGATGTTTTATGAATGTTTTAAAGATTCAGTAGGTGGGTTTACTTCTTATACTGCCCTGACAAGGGGCCTTTTAAAGACCGGTCAACGTTTCACAATAGATTTTACTGAAATAACCAGTTTGAGGTACAAAAAGTATACAATAAACTGTCCACTGTAATGCCAAAAAATTATTAAAGAAAGTAATTCAGGCCTTTCCTACTATACACTCAAAGACAAAAATCGGGCAACAGATGTATTTTGTTGTTTATATGTAATTTGATCGTTATATTCATTTAACTTTTTAACCTTTAAAACCAGGTAATAAATTGTAATAAATTAATAAATAATAAATAATTTTTTTTGCCTTGCATATTTAGGTTTATAGCCATGTCGCTCTTTGTTTATTTATTTTTATTCTTTATTTATTTTAATCTTTAAATTTCTATTTTATTTTCCTCAGATATACGACCACGGCGTTGACTATTTTTTGTTTTCTACCCTGCGCAACAAGATACTTCTTATGGATAGGTTGGTACCATTGTTAATCAGGGTTTTAAGAGATCCTCTCTTCCCTCCGAAGTGCTGTTACGTGACAGTAGGACATGGTCAGCCTCTGCCAATGCTTCTCCGTTGTATTCACATGGTTCTCATAAGCCTAGTCTGGCGCAGGCTATTGTGCCCCAATCGTAGTCGGATTGTTGCTATTAAATGTCTTCTTAAGTATTAAAAACCAAGGGTTTGGCAACTGTTGATGGTCGTATTGACGCACATATCAAACTTATGAATTTCTGATTTTGCTTAATTTGGTTTACATTAAAATAAGTATGTTGTAATTAATATAACGATAAAAATACATGTATTTTGAAATAAACAATAAAATGTTCGGTTTGTTGTCTTTAAGTATATATATGAAAATGTAAGTTACTCAGATGGCGGCAGTACTACAGAAAGATAAGAGGTGATTGAAATGGTACGTACTACCTTAGACGTTAAAGCCCTTAGCGTGTTCGGCTCATATCTAGGTCAGGCCTTTAAACACAAAATAGGATAAACATGCAAATCTATTCCAGTTAAACAAAATCGCACTACGTTGTTGCGTCAAAGTATCAATAGTAAAATTACTACGTTACAGTTTCAATTTGGAAAATGACTGTTTTATCTAGAATAATTTAAGAAATACTCGAGGAACTGAAAAACTGATTAAAATTACAATATAAGTCAACCATTTTATCTTCGTACTATATTATAAAATATTGTGAAATGAAGTTGATTAGAGAACTGGAAACATGGTCAAGGATTCGGCTTTGTTAGAGATAGAGAACATTTTTAAAACCGCGGGTTCGCTGAACGTGGCAATTTCGCATAATAGAACCGGCCGTTTTTCTATCCTTGAAATCAGAACAGGAAAAAAACGAAACATTGACCGTACCACCCCGGTGTTCCAGGGCTGAGAGTAAAGTTCCGTCTTCTACCTCGGCATTGCGTGAAAAAATAGAATATAAAATAGGAGATAGGAAATAGGGCAAAACCTTGAGTAAGTTCTAGCAACTTGATGGCGTCGGTCGGAGGGGTAGAAAGCGTGATTCCTCCAAGAAGTCCCGAAGCCAACCGTGCTCTAACGAGTCACATCGGATCATCTTATCGTCCAAGATAGTCAACCGTCACGCGCTTTAGCTGGTTGCCGCAACTAAACGTGGACTAAATTTTAAGAAGTCGGAAAATCAGTCAGGGTTTGTTAAGAAATCTGACAGGATCGAATGGATCAACCTTTGGACCACGGTACCATGCTGTCAACACCAGATTCGTCTTACTTGTGCTACTTACTAAAATGACCGCACTTAGTTGTTAACTCTGTTTGGATTGACCCTTTTCCCGAGCTGTGTAACCAATCTTATGCCTGAATTCTCTCAACGTAAGAATTTATTTAACACAAAAAGTGAATTATGCATAATTAACAAGTTTGATGATCATGTTTGGCAAAATATTAAGTTAAACAACAGTGTTTAAGGTCTTTATGTTAGAACTTAGATTGTAAAGACTAAAACAAATATTACTAATTATGCTTTTATTGTCTTATGAATGGGTTAAAAAAATTGTTAGGGATGTTTGGTATTGGGTTTTCTTCTCTTACGCATTTTTCCTTAAAACTTTAAACCATACAGCCTTGTATAAATATTTTCCCGCAAAATATAATGTTACCAGAATTATAAAAGGTGAAGAACCTACCAAATATTTCAAAAGTTTTGGTGTTCTCTTGTAAAATGTAAAAATCCACGTTTCTGTGTAGTAATACACTACGTGAAACCAAAACACATAACTCATTCCCAAAATAAAAAGACCCAATAAGCTGATAGTCCATTTAGGATATTTTCTTTTCAACGATAATAATTCAAATATTTGGAATATAATAATATCTATATGCGTCATACAACTGAGCCATATTGGTAATTCTGCGGTAACGTATAACTTAAAGACTTCTAGAATGTACAAAATCGGTAGGGCCATTGTAGTCGGAAAGAGCACAACGCATTCTACGTAGTTTAGTATTGATTCACAGGTTGTAACACTGCTTATTCTTGATAAGAAGCATTTTATTATGTCTAACAATGTGCATAATATGCAATATCCTATGTACAGAATAAGGTTGATGAAGTCGACATACTTCATACACGATGCAAATCTGTGGTAAATCACCATACCTTCCAACTTTTCTTCAGCACGTTGAATTGCTTTGATCCCATATGTAGAGTAGAACCCTATAGCAACTGCATTGTGTACTATTATAACTACATGCAGTAAACGCCGAACACATAGTAGAATCACTTCAGTTTTTGTCGTTTGTTCTTCATCGTGTGTAGCTAGTGACATAACACTATTTTATGGAACAAACTAACTGTATTTCATATGTTTGTCATTTTTTATATCTAAATAATTTTCTTAAAGAAAAAATCAGCCATAAAATATTTAGGGAGTTTAAAAATATAGTTAAACTTAATAATAAACTAAACATAAGGTTTTCGATCGTATCATAATTTGTTGTAACAATTTACATCACCCCAAGGGGTGGCGAAGAAAAAAAAAAACAAGAACAAAACTAATCACAAAATATGCAAATAAAGCAATGCATCGAGCTGGTCGTTCCTCCCGATCGGAATAGTACCTTTGAACCAATGCTGATATTTAATGCTGAAAAACAACTTAATAAATTTAATGAACGTATAATTTCTTTATATTCTAGAGTATTCTCAGTTCGAGATATTCAAGCTCATTTCCAGACAGTCTATACATTGCAAGCTCACAATTTACATCCAAGTAGTAGTCCAAGGTAATTTATAATTAGAACGAAACTGAAGTTACGAATACAATAATAGGCCGACCAAACGAACAAGAAAACCCCGAATTGAGCCCGTAATAATGCATTTACTTTCCACCAGTTCGAACTATTCCAGACTTCTTGTCTCTGTAATTGTAGTTTCGCAAGATAAAACAACGAGGACGTCAGCGACAGACTAGACACAACCACTGAAGTTGAAAAGTGTCCATACCGCAACTTATACAGAGAATAGGCGGACCTTGATGATCTAATAACGGACAACTATTCACTAACTTGCAGACCAACTTACAATTTAATTTTACAAAAATTTAATAGAAAAATTATATAATCATATGGTTATTATAAACATCTACATATGTATATAAAAAACGTAGTCACTGTCTGTTTCATTTAATGTTGGGTACTGCTTTGTAATATCTATATATGATATCTAATATCTATTAAAATTTCGTCAGAGGGAAATCGCCCAAGATGAAACGGCCCAATGAAAAGTAACCAGCGTTCAATTGTATAAGTATGCCATAACGTGTATTAATATTTTAATGAAAATTCTGGGTTGAGGTGAAAACGCAGCAATGTGATAAATTGAATTGTTGACCATCCATTGTTACCAAAACATTGTTTTATACTATGTTTTTCAATGTGTATTCTTTGCTACTAAAGAAAGTCTTTCAAGCTGATTATCTTGTGTTATTTACCCCGGAAGAAAAAATCATCCGTGTCTAACCGTCCGGATTGTCTTTCTCAAAAAATTGGCATGAGCTGTTAAACCAGAGTCGAGAACTCGAGTGGTATCCAAAACGTTATTGGTTCAAGGGCAGGAGAACTCGATCCATTTATTAATCGTCGTAACACTTTAAGGGATATTGAAACCGGTTCATCCGTCAAGTGGCGTTGCGACCGTGGATCGAGAGAGAAAAGAGTTTCTACTTCAACTCTTCTTCCTGTTGGCCCCAGGCCTCCACAAATCTTTCTTTCAACTTTATTTCCATTAATATTCAACGACTGATCTTTCGGAAAGGATTAATTGTTAAGAAACTTAAATGTTTCCGAAAGAGTCGTTAGAAGGTAAAAGTGAGGCAGTGCGCCAAGACTTGTTTCAATTATTTACACACTCGGTTGAGCCTGGAGGCTCAACCAACGCGACAGGGAAAGTCGGAGAAACAAATGCAAAGCACACGGCAAGTAACTCAGTCTTGGCACACACAAAACAATTAATTAAAATAATGAAAGTGCCATTATTTTCCTTTTACCTAGAAACGTCAGGCCTAGAGAAATGAATTGTTGTGAAAATACAAAAAAAAAAAAAATTGTATGTGACAGCATTGAACCAGAGCCGATGGTTAGTATACGGCGTAATTGAGTCACACGTATGATGTTGATTTTCCATGGTTTCTGGCCCTCCATTATGGGCATTGCCAAAGCAGACAAATCGATTTATCCATTGCTAGCTTTCCATTTCCAAGGCTACACATTTTGATTATCACGCTGATTCGAACTTGCGTTACATCCTCCCTTTACTGACTGACCCAGTTTTAAATTCCGTCTGACTCACCTGCCTTCCTACTTTAACATTATTATGATTCATCCTATCAACATCGAGGATAAAGGACAGTGCACCAAGACTACTTTTTTAATATATGAAAGCACATTTAGGATCTCAAAGAATCTCAGATTTTTCATCTATTTGCATTATTTCTGCATTCCATCGTACTGAAATATTTGAGGCTTGCAATGGAAAATACATTCAATTTTGGAAACAAAGACCCTACACGATTTCGCGTTCTACACGAAACAGAATCTTGTGGAGAAAAAAGTGTGAAACCGACACGGCAAAGTAATTGCAAATATTTAAAAAACGTTTTTGTACTATTACTTTAAAATCTATTATTTAAATTTCCCTTCTGACCAGCCTACAAATGAATCGATTTGCCTAATACATATTAAACCTATTTTAACCACTGCCATATCAATTATTACGCTTATCATAAATTTATGGTTTACGCAAGTTGAATCAGACTGAGTTTTGGATAATTTACATAAATTCGAGTATCGGTAGCTAATAAATGTTTACACAAGTAATCTAAACAACATGAAGATGTACGCATAATGAAGGCATTTTCGTTATTTCCCTCCTGATACTGAAACGTTTCAAATGAAAACCCCGCCTAAATTCGAACCTTTGATTTTGTGTAACTGGATCGGACTCTCAATGCAGGCTGCAACCAATTGGTAAACCGTTTTCCTTTCTGCATTGTGATGAGGCGTTTAATTCTAAAGGCTGAGATTAAATCTTAAATCTTTATCCGACTCTGACAGATTTTAATGTAAACGATGCTTTGTCACGTTAATCAGTTATTTTTATGTTGAAAGCAGATATGCGCGAGAAAGGTTTAACATATGTATATTACAAATCACAATTACTTTTATATTTATCCCATAAAAGATAGGATTTCAATATCTGGAGGGTTTGAACTGCCAAAGTTCCACTAGATAGATCGTTCGTAATCAACAGTGTGTACAATATTTCCCATAACTTCCCATCTTGAAAAATGGCAAAAAGGAGGGAAAATTCGAAAGGTAGGTTGAGATGAAAAGTTGGTGTCCGAGTGGATCGAAGTCACGATAGCTCAAGTAGTAGAGCAGCGGCGTATTTAGCCGAAGGTCGTGGGTTCGAATCCCGCTCGTGATACCTCAACCAATACCTTACATAAAGATTAATTAATTGAAAGATGTTATTTGGTCAATCGAACCCTAAGAGATTTAGTGTGTACATTATTCACAAAACAAGTATATTCTGATAATAGCCTTTAGATATGTGCAAATTTATTTTTCAACGTGATTGTGAAAGAGAGTTAAATTTTACAATCCTGCTATTAACTCTTAATAGCTTTTATCTGACAAATTACCGGAAGGCATTTAAAAACAAATTTACGATTATGACGATTCACGATAAACTTAAAAATCAGGACAAGATGGCAAAAAAATCATGTATTCAAGAGAATAATATCTTCAGAATTCCCAAAACTCGAGGATAACATTTTTTAAACAACGTTTACAACTAAAAAATGCATTTAGTTGGCGTACGTATAGGCACCCTGCCATTAGCTAATGCACTTAATTAGGAGACACGCTCAGAAAACATTTCTCTGCCTTGTTTATACGAATTAATTAAACCAAAAATAATTGGTGGAAAATAAGTAATTACACGTAATTATTATAACAGTTTGTCATTGGACACTAACCAATTTAGATAATTGAGTCCTAACATCAACACGAATGAGCTTACGGCTCTCACTACACTAATCACAGATATGTGGATGCACGATGAGGGTGCTATCCCTGACATTTTACGAATGTCAGGCAAAGCCAATATTTTACTAACCAATGTCTATTTTTTTGGCATTTCATATCACTGAAAAGGGAAAATGAAACCATACGGGCAATTGACTGGTTCGAAAAAAATTTCCCTTTATTGGAAGCATTTGGAATTCTAGAAGAAGTCTATTTATATTTATATTGGACATTTATGCGTACATATTATATTTTAGACCAATTATTTATTTGATATTATACGAAAATGATTAACTATCCCCATATGATTGATGTCAGTATTTAATTTTAAAAAATCAGAGATAATGCTATTTTGAAAGAAAAGACTGTATCTGCTTACAGTTCTGGAACTTAAGCTTGCAAAAACCCGATGAAGGATATATTTTTTTTGGAAAACTTGACGATGGAACTAAGAGTTTCTTTTTCTTTTAAACCTTTGCCTTATTAACTGATTGACATTTACATATAATTTCTTGAAGGTTTAAATACTCTGCTTTAATATATATAAAAATACTAAATTAGTGAGATAGCTAATTTCAATCTTTCAATTAATAAAGGTTTTTAATTGAGATAAAAAAGTCAGTGTCACGAGCGGGATTCGAACCCACGATCTTCGGCTAGATACGCCGCTTCTCTACCACTTGAGCTCTCGTAACCTCAATCCGCTGGGACACTAACTTCCTATCTCAACCCCACCTTTTGAATTTTCCCTCCTTTTTGCCATTTTTCGTTTTTATCTCAACTAAAAGCCTTAAGTAATTGAAAGATATTAATTGGTCAAGCGGACCACAAAACTAGTGAAGTTAATTTTATGTGCTTTGAACCACAAAGTCTAATAAATACAAAACAAAATTAGACCTCTGTCTCCATAAAACATTAATGACAATATCCATTTTTAACAAACTTTTTTAAATAGTAAAAAGACACGGCATCAAAACGAAAGCGTCGTGCCAAAGTAAAAATGTAGACTAGGCTAAACCAGATTAATGATGATCAAATAGCTGACAACAATACAATACAACAAACAATAAACAATAACAAAAGGCGTTTTTTCACGTTCGCTGAATGTTCAATGTTAAAATAGTAAATAAATTAATCAATTTGGTTATCATTGCCGATCGCAAAATGGTCCAATGGGCAAAAAAAGTGGCACTATGGTCGTCACAAAAGAAAAAGCCGACCACCCCAAACTCGTACCTTGCAGATTGTTTTTGGCTATTTTTGATCATTCACGTGTCGAAAAATTTCAAGCAATTTGTGTTGATATAGAAATAGATGTTTCTCATGTTTGTCATTGTTGGAAAAAAAAATCTGAAGTAGTTAAAAGATAACGACAGACCAAAGTAATGAGAATCGGCCTATTCTCATTACTTTGGTCTGTCGTTATCTTTTAACTACTTCAGATTTTTTTTTTCCAACAATGACAAACATGAGAAACATCTATTTCTATATCAACACAAATTGCTTGAAATTTTTCGACACGTTCTAAACCTAAAAATAAATATGACCTTTACTATTAATACCGATTTGAAAGGGGATTTTAATTGATGATTTATTCTAACAAATATCCTTACTTTTTTCTTCAAACCAAATATTTCGTCTTCATGATGGTTTTCTAGGGAAACCGTCGTCAATTTGATCAAAACACTAAAGCATACGTATGACTTGGAAATGAGAAAGTCTAATCAAACCTACTAAATCTAATTGAAGGTACAACAAATTATGTTCACCCATCAAACTTCAAAAAATATCACGTTCTGCACTGGGATATAAAGTTTGTTTGTCCATTTCGAATTTCATTGTACACAGACGGAAGATAACATTATCTGATTGAATTTCGCCAACGTTGAAATTCTTACATAAATATTTTTCACCGGGCATGTGTTCAAGTTTTATGAGGTTTCATTTTCACGTAATTATCATCCTACGTGATGTTGGATAATCGGGAAATTCCAAAAGTGTTTACCTCGAGAGCCAAT